TTAAAATTTAAATTGTATAAAATGATTTACCAAGATAAGATAATACCTACTTACGTAGTTATCCGTGTCAAAAGTCTGGCTTCAAATCTTTATTATTCTTTCTTTAATTTTCTTTCTATTGATCCAAAAGGTGGAATCTCCCACCCCACGAGCCCTCACACCCTGACAGGATGGTGAAGGAGTAAGTCACGGTGACTCAGTCAGCAAAGTGACAGTAGGCTATACATTCGTGTGTACCAGAGGTCCAACCTTATTCTAAGTTCTGTAACCTCCACCCAGTCGCTGCGGGAATTCGGACTTTGATTCATTGATCCAAATTGTCCACCACTCGACCAATTGAGCTACCCGTGCAGGTATTAATTTTCTTTTTATTGTTTGACGTGTGGTTGCTATTTAGAAGTAGATAGTTTGACTGGCAGAATAAGATTCCATACATGGGTTTGTCTGGCCAACATTTAAAGGGCATTGGGCCGAAATTGTCATATGTGGGGCTAAAATATACCTTTAAATACTCCGTATTTCTTAAAGGGTTTATTTGAATCTGCACTGGCCCAGGGCCCAGGAAGGACCTCCTCTACCTCCACCATATTGGTTTATTCTTTGTTATATTTCTTTAGGAAAAGGGTCAAATAGGCCTTCAAACATACATAAAAAGATCAAATAAGTCCTTATATAGGAGGCTCTGTCCAGCCGTAGTCATTTGAGGTAGTTCCCGATGGAATTTTTTAATGAAATTTTTTGAGCATCTTATTCTTTAAGTCTAGTTTACTTATACCAAACTTCAGCTAACAATTCAATCGGGAAGGCATTCAAATGAATTCTTGAAGATAACTACGCTTTTAACTGCGCGATTATCTTCAAGAATTCATTTGAATGCTTTCCCGATTGAAACTTTATCTGAAATTTGGTATGAGTACACTAGACTTGATAAATAGGATGCTAAAAAAATTCATCAAATAATTCCACCAGGAACCGCCCCAAATGGAGACGGTCGGACAGAGCCTCCTATATAAGGGGTTATTTGACCTTTTTATGTAAGTTCGAGGGCTAATCTGACCTTTTTCCCTATTTCTTTTTATTTGTTTATTTTTATTTTTAATATTGCTAGTTTGCTACGTAACTTGATTCACTCGATGTTTATAGAAAATGTAAATTTAAATGCGTACAATGTTAGATTTTTTGCAGGAACTTCTAACGTACTATATATTATTTGTTCTGTGTTAAAATTAACATTAACTAGAATGAGTTCAAACTTGACCTCATCCTTGTAACTGTTGTAAGTGTTGCAGAGAAATCTTAGGACCAATTACGGACATACTCCGTAATAGATTGTAGATGTGCATTGAATTATTGCTTTACCACTAGACCAAATATTTGATCGAGGCCTCAAATAACTATCACGACTCACAAGTAGCTAATAACTGAATTATTACACTACCAGTGACTCCCACTCAGCCTAATTCAACCAGAAAATGGCTAGAAAATGAACTTGTGTGAGCATTGTTAAATTGATATATAGTGTCATTTCAACAAAAACAGAACACTTTAGAATATTGTAAAACCGGACGTACGCTAAAATCGGGATTACAAGGTTGTCAACAGGTCGTTAGAACTTAAAACTCATATGTTTGCTTTTTATAAGTAAACGTACACATAGAGAAAACGGTCAAATAAGGCCTTCTAATATTATGAAATCGTCACATAACGTCATGTACTCAATAAAGCGTCATATAAGTAAGTTTACTTATAAAAAACAGTCGAATGAGTCGAAATGACCGTTTGACAACCTCGTAATCCTGATTTTAGCGTACATTTGACTATCTTTTTAAAATATATTATATGATTGATGTGGAATATTTAGTTATGGTTGACTTAAATACAAGATAAAAATAATGACATGTATGTGAGCTAAAGTCGTGATTAAGAGGTTGTCAACGGGTCATTTGGACTCATCTGATTGCTTTTTATAATTAAGTAGATGCGTTTATATGACATTTTATTGAGTACATGGTCTTATGTGACGATTTCATAATAGTAGAAGGCCTTATTTGACCCTTTTCTCCGTACAAACATGACACTTTATTGAGTACATATCTTTATGTGATGATTTCATAATACTGTAATAGTAAAAAACCTCATTTGACCATTTTCTCTAAAATAAATGGGCGCTCTAATATGTTTAGATTTAGGGAGTGTTTGTGATTGCTTGTGCTTTTTAAAAGTGATTTTTTTAAGAGATTATTGGAAAAGTGATTTGTAGTCAATGGCGGACCCACTAAGGGTCCCACGGGGTCCCGGGACCCCGTGGACTTCCAAAACAATACCTATATATTATTAGTATTTTATATAAATTAATTAGTATCTGTATATTTATACGAATAGCGACATTAGAACACATTGACTTATGCAGCGGAACGGGTGAATGCTAGTGGAAAAATCTTTCTCCTGACGCGGGGGTGCAGGGATCGATTCCCTGTAAGGCTCCTCTCCCTTTTAGTCTTTTTAATTTGCATAATTCATTTAAATTTAATCTTTTTGCATATTAATTTATTTAAATTTATACTTTAAAACTCCCTTTTTGTCTTTTTGCATAATTCATTTAAATTTAATCTTTTTGCATATTAATTTCTTTGAACTTATACTTTAAATTAAACCATCCGTATTGAATTTGAATTCCTAATGAATCCCCTGCTTAGTTTTTTTTTTTTTGAAAATAATCCCCTGCTTAGTTATTTGTTCATTTTTTACTTTTATTGAATTTTAACCTTTGCATAATTCATTTTGGGATTAATTACTAAAATTTATTTGAATGTTAAGATTAAATTATTAAATAGAATACAACTAAAACATATACAAAGTTCAAAAACAGGACGAAATATGTTTTATTTTCAAATGAGATTTATTTAGTCCTATTAAAATAAAAACTTGACTATATTTTCCAAAATTAGGAGTGAATGAGTCCTATTTTGGGAATAAAACATTGATTTTGATATTTATGAATTTTATCCATGTTTTAGTGCTATTTAGAGAATGTTCTCATTATTAAATTTGTGTATGTATGATTCTTTTTTCAATATTTTACGATTTAGGGTGAAAAAATATTTTAATAGTGTACCCACATTTAAAAAAATTTGGAGGATCGGGAGTAGTTAAGATGTTAATTCAAATGATTTGTCATTAATAAAAAAAGAATTAGATCAAGTAATTGATGAAAGTGAAACTAATTTGGCTTATAATTTACATAAACAACATGTTGATTTTGAATCTTTAGAAGTTGATCCTAGATTGATAAAAAAAATCTTGATTGTCATCCTAATGTTCAAGACGTGGTACACAGCAGTTAGATTCAAAAAAGGGCATTTCACCTTCGGGATCATGATTTCCCTTTTAAGGTAATTGGCGGCAAAAGACGTAGATTTGTTTCAAGCTGGTTTGATGAACATTAATGGTTTAAATACACTACTGCCAAAAATATAATGTTGCATTTTGTTTATCATGTTATTTGTTTAAGAATGAGTGGGAAGTTGTTGGTGATGTGTTTTGGGAATATGGCTTTCACATGCTACATTTTGTTTACCATGTCGTGTCCCTTTTAAGATCGATGCTGCATTTTTTTACCATCTTATTTGTTTAATTATATACTCCCTCCGTCCCTAAATAAACTTCCAACTTTCCTTTTTCGTCCGTCCCAATTAAAACTTCCACTTTCCTTTTTTGGCCGGAATTTGTGGTTCACAACAATTCTTACACATTTCTCTCTCCTCTGCACAACTCTCCACCACACAATACCCACTATCTTAAACTCCGTGCCAAACCCATTTGGAAGATATAATAGGGACGGAGGGAGTATTAATTAGAATTACATTTAGATAGGGACCCCGTGACTCTGTTTTTCTGGGTCCGCCACTGTTTGTAGTAAAAGTTGGTAGTGTTTGGGAATAAAAGTGATTCTAATTAAAATGGAAAAGTTGGAGTGTTTGATAAAAAAGTGATTGTGATGGTATATTTGAGGGTTATTTTGGGGGGTTAGGGGATTTATTTGCCATTATCATTAGTCATAAAGTTGGGGGTATTTACAACTTTACCTAGAAGCTATTAAAAGTTGGGCTAGGGTAGCTTTTAGATTTTGGTTTTAAAGCACTTTTTTTAAGTCAAAGTTGGGGTTACCAAACACTTAGAATTGCTTTTTTTAATCTAAAAGCTCCAAAGTGCTTTTTTTAAGCAAACAAAAACACTCCCTTAGTATGTTTAGAGGAAAATGTATAACTTTACTTGACTACATGTCTACATTAGTATGTTGAGACTAAGGAAACTTATGATAATAACTAGGGGTGGACTCGGGTCGGGCGGCCCGGCCCGGCCCGGGGCCCGGTGGGTCCACCGGTTCGGTTCGGCCCTACCCGGCTGCTGGGCGGTCCGGGCTCGGGCCCAATTTTTGACTTTTTGGTGAACCAGCCCGGCCGGTTCGGGCCGGTTTTTAATTTTTTTTTTTTTTATTTTTTTTAAGTTTTGGGTTGGATTGGGTATTTTGGGCCATTTGAGGTGGTTTGGGGTGGTTTGGGGTTGAGGGGGAGGGGTTGGGGGTTAAATAAAAGAGCCAAAAAAAAATTAGAACCGGTTAGGCCCGGCCCGGCCCGGTTTGACCCGGAACCGGACCCGGAACCGCCCACCGGCGGTTCAGGATCGGGCCCAACTTTCCTGGCCCGAGGCCCGGCCGGGCCCAGGCCCGAACCGGGCCCGAACCGGGCCCGAACCGGCCCGAGTCCAGGCCTAATAATAACAGGTGGTTGGTGGGTCGAATGGTGAATCGGGTGAGGGTTGAGAAATATATCCACTAATCCACATGCATACGATCCGATCCATCGCCCAATCCCAACCCTATAAGGGCTATATCTTTGGGTTTCGCCCATATTTTTGGCTTGGATGGAATGGTTATCCAAAAAGTGCGAGAGCAATTGTCATATATGCGTGTGTTGTTTTTCATTTAGTAGCATTTCAACTTTCAATCAAAAGGCCTTACTAATTTGTCAAAGTGGCATGTATATATACAAATATGAAATTCAAAGTATTTATAACTAAATAACAATAGGTATAATATCAAATTTTTGACTAGAAGGGAGCAAGAAATAGAAGTCCATACAAAATAAGGTGTAGTAATTTACACAACTGAGAACATAAAACAGAAAAATACATCCACATTCAACATCATAAGAGTACATTACATACCTTCCCAGAAAAGGGTAAGAAAAAAGTGCAACTTAAGTGGTACTTAAAATATTTGATTTATCAAGCCCTGGTCTTGAAAGGAATGGCTCTGATAACGATCTGGTGGTAGAGAGCAGCAAGGGAAGCTCCAATGAAGGGTCCGACCCAAAAGATCCAGTGGTCATCCCAAGCCTCGGCCTTGTTATAGATGATGGCTGCTCCGAGGCTTCGGGCTGGGTTTATGCCTGTTCCGGTGATCGGGATGGTCGCCAAATGAACCAAGAACACTGCAAATCCTATTGGAAGTGGCGCCAATATCTGCACACACACGACGTACCAAACCATTTTATTCCATCACTTGCAGTCGGTGCCTTGTTAAAACGCCCAGTTCTTTCCCAAAACTTTATTACTCTTTTTGACCATTTTATTCCATCACTTGCAATCGGTTCCCGTTAAGGTTGTCTCATTTTTCTTTTTAGGATATCCAACTTAGATTGTCTAATATCAAGTTTGATAAAATTTGTGTGGATCTAAGCATTTTTACTTTATTCATACTTTATCAATTCAATATCAACCACATAAATTGACTTTTCTTAATAACCGTATCACCTCATTATATCTCAATGTTAGTGAGATGAAGGTAATAATAATTTCCGATTCACATGTTTTTTATACATAAAAAGGAATTTTTGATTCATACAAAGTATATTATTTCTCTCTTTAGTACAAATGTCAATCACGCTTTACATTTATGATTTCAAGTGCAAGTCAAAGTTGGTTAACTCAAGAGACGGATGAAATTGCGCATTTCTAATATTTATGCTTTATCGTACTAAAAAAAAATCTTGTTTTTTTCTTTTTTAATTTTGTAGCGAGTTTTAACTTTTAATACTCCGTAATACCCATTTAAATGACTTTTGTACTTTCATTCTTATCCATTCATTAGAAGCAGTGATTTTTTAGTAGCTTGCCAATAATTTAGTAAAAACTATTTTTGATCAAAGTTTGTAACTTTGTATAGAGTGGGGACATATAACAAGAACTGAAATCAACTATTCTCTTCATCATACATACGATAGTATACTTTATTGATTTTTACAAACTTTTTGTTTTTCCACTATACTTTTATTTATCATTTCACTATATTATACTAGCATGTAGTACTCCCTCCATTCTCTAATAGATGGCTCTATCTATAGCCTTTGGCACAAGATTTAAGAAGAAATTAATAGGGGTAAGACAAAAAGTATAGTGGGTATAAGATACGAAAGAGAATGAAGGTATAAGAGTATATTTATTGAAAAAATATTCTAAAAATGGAAAGAGAGACATGTATTGGAGAATAACACAAAATGTAAAGAGAGATATGTATTAGAGAATGGAGGGAGTATGATTATTGAACTTAGGGGCGGGCAAGAATCCCGATCCCGTTGTCCCATTCCGGTATATCCCGAAACCGTACCGGTGTTGTCCCGTTCCGTTTGGGTCTCATTGATTTTGTCCCGCACCGGTCCCGTACCGGTTTAAAACGGGACAAGACCGGGACATTGGAAGGTTATCCCGAACCGTCCCGTTGTCCCGTTTGTAATACCTATATAGATTTTGTAGCATGTGACTAGTGTGTAATGTCAACTCAAAAAATAAATGGTAACATGTTTTTAGTTCTTCAAGTCCAATTTTTAAATTAAAAATAATACCTAACATGAATATTTACTAACATAGATCTTTATCCCACTTTATATATCTACATATGAGTATCTCACAACTAGAACACATGATTTTGAATAAACTAATTCATTTTTGCTTTGTTTTAAATTTAAATTTCAAATTTTGCTAAACCTAACTAAAATCTAATACGTAGTAGCTTTTAGCTTGTGATGAACATCAATTAACTTTTAAAATGTTAATATTTTGGTGCATGATACTTTAAAAATGCTAATATATATTAATTACAAATGATTATTTTTTGTTAGTTTGGGACGTCTCGAACCGTCCCGAACTGTTCCGAACCATCCCGGTCCCGATTTAAATGGGACAAGGACAAAGGCTTGTCCCGTACCGTCCCGTTATTATTAATTGGGACGGGACCGGGATAACCCTAATCCCGAACCGTCCCGACCCATGCCCACCCCTAATTGAACTTATCTAGTTATCTTACTTTATCTCATTTTTAAAAGTTAAAATTGTCAATTGCTCCCCGTGTTTTTACAAAATATAATACGACGAAGAAATCAAAAAACAAGAAAACATTTTTTTGAAGTAATAATACGATGCAACTTCCGTTAGACAAATAGTTTGTGGTTTTTTAATTCTATTTCTCCGTATTATATAATAATGTTATTCGGGTTTAATGCACCAAACTTCTGTGTTTCTGAAAATGCATAAAGCTCTCCTGTGTTATAATTATTCACACCCAAAACCCCTTCTATGAACTCATTTAATTATCAAATAAAAGAAAATTATTAATATTTTTGTACAATTAAGAGATTTCGACAAACTTATTTGCATATTCAATCATAGTATTAAGATAAATGATTTCTAAGTTATTAAATTTGTTCATAAAAGCGGTTATCAGCATCATAATTATAATGATTTCTATGTTATCAGCGTAGTAACACATGAAGGTTGAAAGCATTTTTTGAATCAGACGAGCTACCTGACGAATAAGAAAACAAAGTGATTTACTACAGACAAAAAATATCGTCAATGGCCACACAATCTTCTTACAAAATGAAAAAAAAAATTGTATACAAATAATTATCTACTATTTTAATGTTCACTACAATAGGTTTGAGCACACATTATTTAAAGGTGATATAGTAAAGGTAATGAATAATGTAGAAAAAGTAGGAAAAAAATGTAAGAGTATGAAAAATAAGATAAAAGGTAAAAAAAAAGGGTAATAATAATTGAGTATTTTTAAAAGAAAAAACTTACAAAAAAAATGAAAAATGTAATAAAATTTTAAATACATCAAAAAAAATAACAAAAATTAAATAAAATATGAAGCGATTTCTTTATAAACAACATTAAAACACCATTTTTTACCCAAAAAAACAACATTTCCGACATTATTTGAGTCATGAAAACAACATTTTTTTTTAATGGCCGGTGGCCTAGTCGGCTAGTCCGAGGGTCCCTACCTATATCATGTGGGATTTACAAGCATGGTTGGTTTGTGGGACCAGAGTGATGAAAGAAACAGCACCCACAAAGTCCAATGATAAAAGCGCTGCCAAACCAAGCATGGGGAGACACGTCATCTGACGCTACCCAACCCAAGTGCTGTTCCCCTCATTTTAAGTCCACGGTTTTATGAATTGTTCTTATCACTACATAGTCCCCACCCATTCCATCCATTAGGTGGATTGTTTGGCCGGTTCAATTTTTTCTTTTAAAAAATGATAGCGTTTAGGAAAATAAGCATGCCCACTTTGCATTTTTGTATAGTATACGCACACTTTCTATATATGAAGACAAAGTTATTTGTATGAAAAGAAGTTCTCTATTTCTAAACGAATTGTTTGTATAGAGACAATTTTGTTTGTGCAAAGCAATTTTGTTCTAAAAAACCACTTTTGTCGAATAAAAATTTGTATTGATGTTTAGAGCCCATTTGGTAATACTAAAATCGGTTGATTCTGCTGAAATTTTTGAAGTTCTAGCTGAAGTGACTGTGTTGAGTGATTCTGCTGATTTATGACAAAATTATACTCCGTATTTAAATAATATTTTATTATTAAATAAATAAATATTTATATGAAAAATAGCTAAAATGGTTATCTACAATAACTTCAGCTGATACAGACACAAAACTAACTCCAACTTTACTTTTTCTTATTATTACATAATTTAGCGCGCGAAATCAAAATTTATGTATTTGGTTAAAAAGTTAGTTAATAACCCGGATTAGCTGAACTGAGACACAAAACGGACTTTTAATCAAAATACTAAGATAATGTGATTTCCAAACTACTAAATTTCAAGGATATGATATTCATGATTAGTTACAAAAGCAAGGAGTTTTGACCTTTTTTAAAATTATTACGAGGGCCAGCGGAGAAAATTTATACAGAGTATATGAGGAGATATTTCTGCATTACACACGTTAGATGAGTCAAAAACTTTTGAAATTCCACGAAGCCGTAGTAAAAAACTCTACACTACCCAAAAAAGGCCACCAAACAAGCTCTACACGGTAGAGCAGGATAGGTTAAATAGGAGTGAGTACATTTTTAGGTCTTGATTCTCCGTATTCTATTCACATAAGGAACCTCACTGCTCAATCAAAGAATGAAGTCGTCGCACGTTATTAAAATAATGGAGAGGGGTGTTATCGAGGGTAAATTTCTGATAAGTACGATGAAATCGAGATGTTATTATGTAAAAATACATAGAAATATATAAAATGATGATGTGTCATCCGGATGATGTGTCATCCTTTTTAAATCCATATGTTAATACGGAGTATTAAAATTGGATAAAGTACTAAATTGGTTAATACTCCGCATTTAAAAAAGGTAAAAAAGAAAATTACAAAAAATTCTATAATTGAATTTTAACCATTTCACAATTTTTATGAATTTTAACTATTACACAATTTTTCACGAAGTAAAAAACATAGTTTTCATGCTTTAGCTAAGGCGGGAGGTTCCCCTGGCAGTTGTTTTGTTTTCGAGTAGGCTCCTGATTTGATTGCTTTAAACTTACTTCACAATATTGTTAGAAAATTGCTAACCAATAAGGCCACAAATTGGTTATAAAACGGGAACTAATTTGGCTAATTCATTTCCACTTAATATTTTCAAATAAAAAATAATTATTTGATGATGAGTTTATTCAAGTATAATTGCACAATTTTTATTTCACTGCATACCAAGCCATATTAAATTTCTAATGCAGACCTCAAAATCACTCTACCAAAGAAGTCTTAAAGTGTAAGCGAGAACTGAGAACTAGAAAGAAGGGACTAACCGGAACATGGGAGTCCCTCGCGTTTCTCTTAGCATCGGTGGCGGAGAAGACGGTGTAAACAAGGACAAAAGTGCCTACGATCTCCGCGCCGAGCCCAGCGCCCTTGCTATAACCCGAGCTCAACATGTTCGCGCCGCCTTTGTTGAGCTCGTACGGCCCCTTCATGAACCCTTTCACCACTCCCGCCCCGCATATTGCCCCCAGACACTGCATCACCATGTAGAACACCGCCCGAGTCAATGACAGTTTCCTCGCCAAGAACAGCCCGAACGTCACTGCCGGGTTTATGTGTCCTCCTGCCCAATTGTATTTTTACCCATTATTTTTGCATAATCACACCGGTCAAGATAGAAAAGTAACTTTAATCTTATTGATTTTAATTATTTCTAAATTCAACACTACAAATCAATTGTCATATGTTTCATAAAAATATTGATTAGTAAGATTGATAAAATGAAAATAAGAGTTAATAAAGGACTCATAACGTGTCCATGTGCTTGACATCATAGATTTTCTTTTATACTCGTAAAAAACATGGAAGACCGTTAAACTAACGATAGACATTTCATTAACTAACTTTTATGTACCTAACGTTTTTAGGAAATATTTGCCCTGTTTGTATTTTTGCACTGTTTTTAGGAAATATTTGCACTGTTTAGGAAATACTATAAATGATTGAGAAAAGTCTTTACACGTCACCTTAAATTGGGTGGCAAAACTTATTTATACGAATTAATCTTGTGTAATTGCATTATTCATATAAAATTAATATTTACTACTCCGTACAAATCTTGTGTGACAAATCAAGAAGAAATAAGTTGAGAAAATTCTCTAAATAGGACTAAAACAAAATTAAGTTCACAAATAGGGTTCTTTTTGTTTTATTTCCAAAATATGACTTAATCACACTTATTTTAAACAATTTATTCTTTTAGTAGGATTAAACAATTCTTGTTTACAAAATAAACATACTTAGTTTATTTTTGAATTTTATGCATATTTAATTTTAGTCCTATGAGAAATTTCTAAATCGGAATGCTGTAATTAAATAGGACTTCAATCCAATCATTCAGGATAAGTGCATCAGAAAACTTGAAAGAAGACAAATATTTCAATTAAACGTAATTCAAGAAGAATCTATTCTATCGAGGAATCATTAAATTTCCTTCTAAATAATAAGACCATTGAAATCTTAATAAAAAAGAACAGAGAAAAAATGGACGGACCTGAGATACCGGCGGTGCAGTAGACAAGGGCAAAAATCATTCCGCCGAAGGACCAAGCGATGCCCTGAATACCCACAGATTTGCAGAGGCCGTCGGAGCGTTTGACGCCCATGACGGTCAAGATGGTGATGTAGAGGAACAGGAAGGTGGCGACGAACTCGGCGATCCCGGCTCTGTAGAAGGACCACGAGCTCAGCTCCCCCGGCTCGAACAGCGGTGCTGCCGGTGGCTCCTTGTAGTCCTTGTCCGATTGAGCCGCCGTTCCTAGCGGTTGTGTCTCCCTGAACTTGTTCGCTCCCAGCTTCACATCTTCTTCCCTGTTTTCTGCCATTTCTTACTATCTATCTTCTCTCTCTCACCACTACTATAAAAAGAAAGCTGATCGTGAGTGGTTACTGAGGCAAGATTCTCTCTGGTTTTATAGAGCCAAAGAGTTTTTCACTTTTTTTGAGCGTTTTTTTAATGGTCCATTGTTTTTTTTGTCAACTTAAAGTCTCTCATCTTTTATTTTACATATTCATCTTTTATTAAATTTGAGTTTCCTTTTTATGTTTTAATATCGAACAAGACTTAAGGTTAATAGGCTTACATGAGCCAAAGACAGTGTTGAGGTCCAACACGTAAGCCCAAGAGTTTCGAGTGGATTGGGTGTGTGAATAAACTAGCCCAACTAACAAGTGAGATGGGTCAAGGAAAACAATAAGTAGCAAGTAAATGATTAGGTATTATTATCTGTTAATAACTCCCTAATACAATACTTTCGCTAAGGCTCGTCGGCCGTTCGTCTTACAAGGCAGTAGAAGTGCTGCAAGTATGAATGTTATAGCTAGAGTGATAAGAATAGAAAGTTGCTAACCCTTTACAATGAAATAAATGCTTCTATTTATACCCACCAATGGGCAGTTGGCTACGCTGACGTGGAACACTGCGGTTGGCTGGTGTCCCAACCACCAAATCTTCAGCATTAAATGCACTTCCCGCCAGAATCTAGGTTTCCCGCCTAATTGGTGGGGACGTTCGTCCGTCCGGGGGGTGAGCTGCTCCAGGTGGCTTGCAAAGGGTATTGGGCCGTTCGTCCTCTGGCCCTTGGTGATTTTCGCCATGTAGGCGGGGTTGCCCCCAACGGCTATGGGCTTGCTTCTGACGACGTTCGTCATCATTCTGATGGCCTGTGGGCCTGCTCCTTGTCAATAGCTTAGACGTTCGTCGAATGGGCCGTTGAACCTGAGGCTCTTCTTCAGACGTTCATCCATACTGAGTAAGTGGGCCTGCCAGGTTAACCTAATGATTTATCTGGACGTACGTCTGGGTTAAGGGGCAAGTGGGCCGAACCTCAATTTGGGCCATTAACCCAACAGACGGGTAAAGTAGACATTTCATCATTCAAAAACAGTCTGATTAAGAAAATAATAACTAAAACAGCAGTAATAAAAATATCCTTCTCCATCTTTAAGTGCACAGCCACCAACCAAGCAACAGGTTTGTCAAGCACCAACAGACATCTCGACGGGCTACTGATCGAGACCCGCCTCCCCTTCGTTTTTTGGCTTGTCAAGCGCCATGATATCTCCTATTGGATCCTCCCATTCTTGCTCGTCCCAGATCCTTCTCCCGGCATTTCCTCCTTCCTTAGTAGAGCTAGTTCTTGTCCCTGTAGTAGCCTCCTTCCGACCCTGACTTCCTGTGCCCTGATTATTGCTCTTCTGTTGTACTCCCATACCTGCACTTGAGGACCCTTCTATCAGCCACTTGTTACCTCCTGCAGGCTAGTCTTTCCCCCTCCCCAACTCTAATACAAACTCCATAAGTTTTATCCAACTTAATGTTATCTCCCTGACTCCCTCGTACACTAATGGGCAAAATTTATCAGAATGGACAATAATCCCGCAGATAAAACAAAAATTTGGAAGTTTTTCATATTTGAAGTCCACCCAATGGCCATTTCCCTCTTAATTTGTTCCATATTGTTCCTTTTCTCACGGTTTCTTTATATCCATACAGACCCTAATACGCATATAAGCCTCCTATTTTTCAAATTGACTTTCATCAAAACTAATAAAATTTCCAATATAATTATCAATTCTCCTAGTTGATCCTACATTCATAAATCCATAAGCAACATTATGAACTTGTACCCAAAAGTCAACCTCATTTAGACTAATCTTAAGAGGGATATCCTCCAACCTAATTTCTTTAAGAATCAACAAATTCCTTTCAAACAACCACAAATCTTCCTCTGACACATGCCTCATATCCATAATATGCAGGGGCAGAGGGAGGGGGTGGCCTGACCGGTCCATGGCCCAGGGCATTTTTTTTGTATTATATTTAAATTTTTTAAAAATATTTAGAATTGGCCCAGTGCAAAAAAATTGATGGCCCAGTGCCAAATAATAATGGCTCGTTGTATGGCTCAATGAAAATAAACCTCCAGCGCAACGCTCAAGAAAAAAGCGCAGAATCGGGACTTTACGTATTACGCACGCAGCGACGGAGATTTTACGCATCCGGCATCCCCCAACTCGCCAAGTGCAGCATGGCAGCAGACCACTCCGACACTCCGTCCACTTGTTGGACGTCGGACGTCGCATCTCCTCCGCTCACCCGCTTCTCCAGTTCTCTTGAGTCGGCAGCAGACCACTCCGCCCACTCGCCGAACGGCGGACGCCGCCTCTCCTCCGCCTTTCATTTTTTTCTACATATTTTAGTTTAATTTAAGTTTTTTATTTGTTATTTTAGTTTGTGTTATGACTTAGTGTGTCACAATTGTCAATTGATTTGTGTTTGAATTCTAAAATGAAAAATTAAGATTTAGGAATGTCAAATGTGATTTGTGAATTTGTTAAAATATTAATATGAATTATATGAATTCAAATAAAACATTGATTAGTTTTTTTAATATTTTGTTAATTTTAGTAGGTATGGCTACTCAATCTACTTCCAAAAAGGCAAAAATCACATTGCGTTCATTTTATAAGCCTAGTACAAGCACTCAAAGTAGACAAGAGTTAAATGTCTCAATTGAAACTCCTAATATCTCATTTGTTCAAGAGGAAGTTGTTTCTGATGCACCTGAAATTTTTGCGGGATCAGAGAAAACGCAAAACGATAAGTGATTGGCCTGTTAGAGAAAAGAGATGAAATTAGAAGATCTTATTTGATGCTTGGACCTTATCAACCGAAATTGAACTTTTACAAAGGCCGGGTTTACAAAGATAGGGTACGTCGTTTTCAAGCCACTTGGTTCAATGAATTTAATTGGTTGGAACACTCTCCAACAACACATAAGGCATATTGTTTTCCATGCTTTCTCTTCAGTGATGTTGTGCAGTCCTCTTGTGTTTCGGCTTTAGTGACTACTGGGTTTGATAGTTGAAAATGAGTTCATCAGGGTAAAGAATGTGTGTTTCTTATGCATGTTGGTTCATCCCTTTCATCACCTCATAATAAGAGTGTGACTTTTGATGACTCCTTAATGAAACCAAGTCAACATATTGACAATGTTATTTCTAGGATCGGTAAAGAAGAAGTGGTGAAAAATTGTTGGCGTGTAAGGACAACCATTAAATGTATTTTGTGATTAGCTTTACAACGTTGTGCATTTAGGGGTCATGATGAGTCCGAAACATCTCTCAATCGTGGAAATGTTATTGAATTGATTAAATATACTGGAGAATGGAATATTGAAGTGAATGATATTGTCTTGAGTAATGCTCCACAGAATGCCAAGTATACCTCCCCGGATATTCAAAAGGAATTTTTAGCTCTTCTAGCTAATCGTGTTCGGCGTATGATTTGTGAGGAAATCAAAGACAAGTATTTTCTATACTTGTAGATGAGTGCAAAGATGAATCTGATAGAGAACAAATGGCTATTATTCTTAGATTTGTGAACATTGAAGGTATTGTGACAGAATGTTTATTTGCTATTAAAGGTGTTTCTAACACTTCTTCTGAAACACTTAAGCATGAAATAAGTGCGGTTCTTTCTGAGTATAATCTTCAGGTTCACAAGTTGCGAGGTCAGGATACGATGGTGCAAGTAATATGTGTGGACAGTGGAATGGATTACAAGCATTATTTTTGAATGATTGTCCATATGCATATTATGTGCATTGTTTTGCACATAGGTTCAACTTGACTATAATTTCCTCAGCTAAACAATGTGACCCAGTTTGGAATTTTTTTTCAATGTTGGATAAAGTTATCAACATTGTAAAATCTTCACCAAAGCGAAACACAGAATTACAAGAGGCACACAAATTGGAAGTCATTGGTATGTTAGCTCGTGGTGAGAGGCACTCAATGACATCCATTTAATGTAACATGTGCAGTTCTTATGAGTATTGCATGTGACGGTCCAAATCCCAATGCTTGAACTGAAGCTAATGGTGCTTGCACTAGTGTTAAGAGCATTGATTTTGTGTTTGGTTTGCAATTAATGGAAGCAGTTATGCGTATAACAGTCTAACAGATTTTGTTAAAACCACAAAATCACAAAAGATTTTGCTCCAACAGTTGCGAAATATATAAAGGCTATTATTTTGCTTCAAAAGTTGCAATTGGTCGTTGATATATATTACGTACTACCTCCGTTCCGGTGGACTTTGCCAAGTACAAAGTAGGTGAGAAATAAGAATAGTAAAAACTGTGTGATTGAGATTTGTGCAGAAGAGAGAGAAATGTGCAGAAACACAAATTAGCTGCTTTAATAGAAAAATGGCAAAAAAATTTTAGACAATAAAAAAATGTTGTCAAAGTCCAATGTGACAGAGGGAGTATTATTTTACCGATTTGAATAAGAATCGCAACACTCACATTTAAGCACAACTTTTAATTTTACTGATTGGAAAATACTGCCATGTTTGAAGTCTGGTACTGGCAAAACATGACAGTGATTAGTCCTATTTTGGGAATAAAAACATGTCAGTCTTATTTTGGAATTTTGAAACCCTTTTAGTCCTATTTTGGGTAATATCCCTTTTCCTTTTGAAAAACGATATTTTGCTTTACTCAGATTAAAGATCTTTTTGCATTAATATATTCATATGGCTTAGCTGCCCACATTTTAACGATTACCGATTTCTTTACTTTTTGTAAATATAAACTCATGCTTAGCTGCCCACATTTTAATACGGTTGTTAATTAGGGGATAAGGTGCCATTGGAAAAAAAATGGGAAAATGGAAACTAATAATCCAACCTTTTAGCGGTCTTCTTTCAATAATCCAACCTTTTGATTATTCATGAATAATCCAACCTTTGCACTTCATCTTCATTCACTGGTCCCTGACCGGTTGATCACCTGTTATTTCAAGCTATTTTCTTATCTTTGCAAATCATTATACCATAAATCTCATCTTTCACAAAGATAATATTTTGGAAAGATAAGAAAATAACTTGGAATAGTAGGTCATTAACCGACCAGGGACCAATGAATGAAGATGAAGTGCAAAGGTTGGATTATTCATGAATAATCAAAAGGTGGGATTATTGAAAGAAGATCGCTAAAAGGTTGGATTATTAGTTTCCATTTTCCCAAATAAAATTAGGGGATAAGGTGAGGTCGGCCACCTATTCAAACCCTACATATGCCATATTGTAATCACAAAACGAAACAAGTATA